AGGAGTGGCTGGTGGGTTTGAACTACCAGCCTTCTGGTTAGCAGTCAAGTGCCTTAGGCACTACACCACCAGAGAGGCAGGGATAGTCTTGGGAAAAATAACAAATGTTTGGCTAAAATAATGAGCTTTGATGGCATAGTGCATAAGGCATTTGACTGCTAACCAGAAGGTTGGTGGTTCAAACCCACTAGTAGCTTCACAGAAGGAATAAGGGGCAATCTACTTCTGTAAAGATTTATTGCCTCAGAAACCCAATGGGGTTCACTATGAGTTTGAATTAACTCAATGGCAGTGATATGAGTGCTAAAATTGTCAAAGAACAATGGAGGTGGTGATTTGCAAGTCTATAGATAATTGCAACAAAGAAGTTAGTTAATGATATAATATGATGATACATATTTTCATAGCAGCTGGAGGTCTTTAGGAAGGAGGGAGTCTGCTCTGGAAATGGTTAAAGATCAAGAACAACACTGGATGAGGGATAAAAAAGAGCAAACATTTGAGAGAGTTGCATGGAAAGAGTCATGGGAGGAAGAGCCAAACTTTGTTTAGAACAACAAAAGTGAAGAGCATGCTAAGAATTTAGGATCTAAACATTTTGCTAGTAGTAGACTATGAGTTCATAGTGGGTAAGACATTTGGCTGTTAACTAGAAGGCTGACAGTTCAAATCCACCATCTGCTCCCTGGGAAACAGATGATCTACTTCTGTAAAAGATTTACAGTCTCAGAAACCCAATGGGAACATCACTATGAGTCAGAATCAACTCGATGGCAGTGAGTTTGGTTTGGTCTTGAAACTATGAGTTCCAGGGGCACACTGGAAGGGATTTATTGAAAAATAATAGGTGACTATATTGATTAAGGTATGCAGTGATCCATGGGGAAGTGAAAGTACTGACACCCAGAAGCCTTTGGTTTCTGCTGGTGAGTAACAGATATGAGGCAGGTTGTAGCTTGTTTCGTTAATTCAAAATAGTACAAATGAGGTCAAGGATATTAATTAGAGCTTGTCTTCAAGCTTTTGTAAAAAGAACACAGGTATTCTTATCTATTCTGTCT